ATACGGCGCCAGCTGAAACGCCGAAAAGGGTCTGGTTTGCCTCCTTCACTAGCTGTGACTGTGCAAGACCGCTTTTGACCAGCGTTTCAGGGACGTCGTAATGGTCTATGGTACCTCGACGACCTCGTTGAGCTCGTACCGTGAACCATGTTTCCGTGGGAAAATCTTCTGATGTCGTCGGTGTAGAAGGCTGTTATGTAACTTTTGATAGATTAGAATGTGCTCTTTAATATCAGTTGAGCTCATTTGGTTTGGTTTCGCAACGTGTAATAATTAGAAGTCCTCTTTAAAATTCGGTTGAGATTTTTGGTTTGGTTTCGCGACGTGTAATTAATTCCGTTTTGAATTTGGAGGGAAGTGACTTTTTTGCCAAATCTAGTACAGCTACTCGGCTGTTTGAAGTATAAGCCAGCCTGAAAGCTGTTTTCCTTGCCTGTTCGACACAACTAACACTTTATCGGAACGCAATCAAAGGTTCAACCAACCCCAAATGAATAATGGAGGTACAATTCTTCAGAAATAGCTTTGACAGCTTTGCACGATGAATTTCGCTTCAGGGAATGGTTAGCGTAAAAAGAAGAAAGCGTCGTGTTATTAACATTTCTCGGAAATTCCAAGCAGAATTGTCAAACGGTATACTCAAATTCTTTCCTAAGAAGAAAATTGGAATAGCTTCAGAACCAGAATTTCAAATTGATCTAGCAAAGGTAAAGTTACCATTACCTGCCTTTTCCGTGAATAGGATCAGCTCTCTTCAATTGTGCCATGTTTTATCTGCAGGCTACGGTGATGTACGACGAGAAACGCATCGTTCTGATTCTGAAGGTAAGTTTTCGAAGGATTGAATATGAAATAAAGGAGTACTCGGTCCTCTACTAGTCACAATAATTCAGTACAAGCTCTACGCAATCTTATAGTCAAGGCCAAAAGAAATGCCTTCGCAACTGATATTTCGAGGTCATGGTCATCTTCACAGCCTGCAGAGACGCGAAGTCCTTTCCAAAGTACCCGGACTGAGACTATATTGAGCTACTGATATCAGGGTTGCAAGCGACTAACGGCGTCGTGGGAAACTGTCGTAGAAAACTCCAGGGGCGGTGGTAAAGTACCCTAAACTCGCATTCAGAATGCGGTGGTTTTTTTTCTCATTGACGGCAATAAGTAATGTGGAAAGATGGACATGCCCCTAATTGAATCCGCCAGCCTTCGCCACAACACCTGCAAAACTTGCGCCACTCTCGGACTTGAACCCTGGATGTAGGACTCATAGCCGGTTTTTGCCAGTGCACCAGGGATCACTCGATCACAGCACTGGAAGAGATGTTGACAACAGGTAAGCAATGGATGTTGTTTGCAAATCTTAGACTTCAAGCGGTGTTGATCCAGCAACCTTGCCAGCGGCAGCGTGGAACGTCCCCATTGAGCCATTGGCAAGTGCCATGGTCGAAATGGTGAGCATCCACCACATTGCTCTGCAAAACTTGCGCACACATGGTTTGAACCTTGTGATGCAAAACCCATGAGCGGCATCGCTACCACTGCACTGAGGAGTCCTTTTTGTCAACGTTGAAGGAGTTGTAGACAAAAGGGAATAGCCTACTACTCGCAGTACTGATCCCGTGACTAATCCAACGCCAACCTATACGGCACCATTGACATAGGATTGCAAGGCGTTTCCGTTTCCTTTTCCAACACACTGCTTTGACCCACGCAGACAGAAGTCGATACTTATCGTTAGTAGGGGAACTAATGGTTAAGAGATGTTCTTTACCTCTATTGATACGCGGGCTGCTTCATCCACATTTTCACCTATCGTTGTCTCCTTATAAACTTTCTGTCAGGCTATAACATATCGAAAAGCATTTGTGCCATAGGAGAGGTGGACCCTCCTTGCCGATACTTGAAGGCACGGGTCGGGATCGAGTTGGGGTATTTTTGCGCTTGAAAGTGAGCGTACAGATGTGCAATGGAACGCCAGAAGAAAAAACGGGAAGAAGCCGTCGACAAGACCGAAAATAAAACCTCTCTCCCCAATAGCGGCGAAGGAGGCTGGCTTAGGAGAATGCATGTCCGAACGAGTTTTCGGACATGCCAACCATTGCTGGCTCCGTGAAAGCAGCTGATACGGCAATCAACCCAGCTGATTTCACGCGTTATGCCAGCCACGCACCACTTCCGGCGGTGGGCGGTCATAGCTCACGTCGTCCTAAATGCTAGGCCAGGGTTGTTATAGCCGCGCGGTTTCGAGTCACGAGCGCGGCATCACCTCTATGGTTGCAGACCCAGTCATAGTATCGACAGAGCGGGTTCCTTTGATCGTCTAATTCTAACCCATGCCTGTAAGAGGTTGTTTTTAAATTTTCTTGTGATTTTCTGTTAGGCGTTTAGTGTTGGAGGATTTCAGTGAAATGAAATTTTTGAAGAAATGCTCCTCAAGATAGCTTTTGAATTTTTACGCTCTTGAAGAAATCAACAATGTCTAGACCTGAACCAAACAACGATTCTTGTCAATTTTTGCGGTTAGCCGAGAGTAAGAAATATTGGTGCAGCATTCCGATGGCACTGATGGTTGATGTCGATTCAAGCCCTGGTTTTATATTTGCTTTATTCCAACTGGAGAATATCGTCCATGATATTCAATTACGTATTCAGTGGGGCAGAAACTAAACAGCATTTTAGGTAGCAAATGAAGCTCACAGTTTAATTCCGCTCGAAGATTCATTAGATCGATGGCGAGATGCAATACTCAAGCACAGATTATATCGGCAAGAAGCAGTCAGGTGCAAATTTGAACAGCATTAGCGCTGCTGGTTATAAATTTTGTGCCTATTCTTTTGGAAGTAAGGAGAGGGGAAGCAGAGGGATATCATCATACACCAAACGGAACCTCGCGTAGCGCCTCGTGTTCCAAAGCTAGTCCAGGTTTTAACAAGTGGTAGCCCTCCTTGAAGAAACCGAAAATAAGGGTGCTTTTTCTGTGAGCTAGGCAGTGCTACGACGAGGACACCCTGATCGCCGAAGAGAGCATGGCCAAGAGAGTATGGTGGCGAGCGAAAAGCAGACATCTCGCTGTGTGGGCTGCCGGGAATCACCGCTGTAGCCGGGTTCATGGACAAGGTCACACATCCCTTACCGCCCATCTTCGAGCTGTGGGAGCAGCACCTTTCCTACTTTTTTCAACAGCTTTCTTCTAGTTGGGGTGGGGGCTTGATTCATCTAGCTAGGTCCTGGAACTTGCCTCAGAGCGGTCGGATAACAGTCGGCACTAAGCAGGGTTCTATGAATACTCAAAGCAAAATAGTGGCTTGCCAGGCAAGCTTTTTGCTTTTTAGGAAAGGCTTGCAGCCGGACACTACCCACACTTTGGAAACGATTTCTGCAGGGCAGAGGTACTTCGGAATTTTATTCAAAGCTGGTGTCCAATCAACATAAGCTCTGCGCCCACATAAAACGTTCTCTTTTAGAGATGATCAGGGCTGGGAATCACACTCTTGTAATAAAATGTTCGACGAAGTTCATCGTGAGTTTCATTTGAGTTTACCCAATGAATACAGCAGAAGTATTGAGCCATCGAGAGAGAAAGCACCTTGTTTTGCTGTCGTGAAAAGAAGGAGTAGCGAAATAAACAGAATGCTGGAATATGGGCAAAACTTCCCCCAAGATGGGAAGTGAACCGCACTTTTCACTTTTCGGGCAGATGCTTTATGGTTGGACCAACAATCAGAATCGAGCCCGAAAGCATCAAGTTCTAACAATGGAGGAATCGAATGTTTGCCATTGAAATTCACTAAATGGGGCCTATTTCTTTTCAGAAATGCAAGGTTTGACGTTGGAGGTCCTCGAAAAACTTACAAAAACATATGAAGAAATGAAGAAAACTAACATAGAATTGCAGAATTCGCTGAAAAACATTCGAGTACGTTGAAACGCGAGTAGCGTTCTTATTTCTCCATAGTACAAGATGCGCCTAAAATATCGTGGCTATTCGTAAATCCCCTCACGTGTTTGCCTTCTGCATTGTCAATCTATTTTATTTATTTATTCTTGGTCAATCACAGAAGGGCAATACACAGTAATTATCCAGTATTTCACATACGATTGACTTAGGTGAGATTATCTGAGAGGGAAACTTTCTAATAGGAATAGAAATAGAAAACTCCATAAAGGCTACAACAGTTAGTACCACTTGTTTTTACTGAGCAATATTTTATGCACCGATACATTCACGTAGACCGATAGGCACTTGTTTTAGAGAACCACTAGCCACCGAGCCCTGAAAATAACCGACGCTGAGGCCGCAGCGCTACAATCGCCACGAATACGAACAACAAAAGCTAAAAAAAAACTAGTCTTCACAAAAAGGGTTTCCCGGTGCTTCTGATGGGATTGCAAAGTGAAGCTCAGTACGAAGCTACCGGATACCTCATAGCGTTGATGGCCGTTGTTGCTTTTAGCAACTTTAGAACTTACCGTATGCGTAAGATAAACCTACATTAGTTTCTTAGTCCAGGCCGACGCATATCCGTATAGGGCAAAGATTATCTATCAGCAGATCGTTGATCATGACCGGAAATAGTAGAAAGCTCAGAGGCTCCCTTCTGTCCGTAGCATTCGCCGAAATTCCGGAGTTAAAGCAACAGTCCCAGCAGGGTCTGCTTCTTTTTCAAAACTAATGGCACTAAAGGATGCACAGGCCCTATTGGAGAACATCTAAAGTGTAGTTATAAAGAAACCCACCTGGGAAAAGCCAAAAAGGGCGTTAAACTCCTCAAAGATGGGTGTGGTTGGAGATTTCTTCGGGACCGCCCACTTGCCAGCCGTGATTGGCTACGGAGGCATTCGTGCTCGTTTTGGGACCACAGGGAGTATTTGAACTCTGTCCTTTAAAGTAATCAATGTGATCCTGCCTGTTACACTGGAATTGTTTCTTTTTTTTGTTGTTGTGATGTTGTTATGTTATGTATAGTGTTATGTAATTATGTTAGTGTTATGCAACTGGAGCGCATTAAGTGGGGCAAGTTCAGACAACTCGTCCAACGCGCGTCTTCCCACATCTCTGAGCGCCAGAAGGGGAGTCCCTGTTTAAAGCCCTGTTCGGCGTTTTTCTTTGGTTTTTTCGTCACTGTCGGTCAAATTGTCGCCTATAACTACATTATCAACGGTATTTAACCCGCAAATTCGTCCTGGGATTGTTGCTTTAAGAGGGTTGAGGAGCTGTCTAAGAAAGTGCTAATGATGATAATTTTGTTGCCAGGAAATCTCGTTCATTGAAGAAGTGTTTAGTCGAAAATTCCGTACAAAATGGCACAGAACTTTCTCGACAACCTAATAGAACGATTCCTTTCTGTGACCGTTGTGGTGCTGTATGCAATGACTTGAATTCAGGACGCCTTGATGAGACCTGCAGATAGCACGTCGGCTTGGACGACAATTTCAACTTCAATGACACCAACAAATTTGTCAACTGTTCCACGGACAACAACAAATATCTCGTCTCTTCCACGGACAACGACAAAGCCGACCGCTTCGATCCCTTCCTCAAATCTGGACGGAAACAGTTCCTCGATGGATTCGAAATTACAAGGTAGAATTTGAGATTTTCATGGTCTACATCTGCCGTCATTACCGATAATTCCTTAGTACACACGATATATTTTCTGTCATAGTAGCAGTCAATTAAGATTTAATGTTAGTAGGTACTTCCGTGCAGAGCGCTAACAAAGACCACTCAACGAATAATGCACCTGGAACATTCCACGATCGGCTCGGTGCGAACGGGGTCAACCATTCGTTAATCAATTGCCAAAAAATTTTGTAAGCCCCCTCTTCAAGAGAGAGGTCTTGATACGACTCCTCACCAGCACCACCAGTCTTACGGGAGTTCCCCAATACGACCATCTTCTCACTATCTCCGACCACCACTCTCCCATCACGGCTGTTTGAACGAGGGAGGGTGAGGTAGGAGGTGTGAACATTCGTCCCATAAAAACGTTTGTCCCACAGTTCCTTTCTGATTTTCGTTCAGAGGCATGTTTTTTCAAGTCGGATCACTGTCAGTGCGAAGTATTTTAGTATGTCGAAAAGTCCAGCATCAAGACCTTTAGCAAGAAGGTTCCAGGAGGTCAGACCCTCAACAGCGCAGCTAACTAAGTTGAAATCGATCAACGACCAAAACAAGCGATTATGCTTAACGAACAATAGATGCAAAAACTTGCAAGGAGCGCAGAAGGCAAGATCAGCGTTGTGTTTGACCCAGTCTCTGCTACTGCCCATCGCGCTTGGCGCTATTAGCTCAATAGCATCAGCAAAGACATTACGGGCCGCAATGCTTGACCTCAACCCTTGCCCTCAGTCACTCTCGATGGAAACCCCTTGCACCATGGGTTGGACGCTACTACTAGGGAATTATCACGGACGTCCAGGCACAGCCGATCCACTGTGGATCGCCATGCGGATGGAATGGGCTGCAGCAGAATGAACCCTCGATGGAAAGCACATGCATCAACTGACCATGGCCGAGAGGCACTTCTGACCATTTGCAAAATCCCATCTATGCGATCCCATAACTCCCATTCTGGGATCGCATAGAGACGGGATTTTTCCTAGTTGGTCACGCCCACTCGGGTTTTAGTCAAGGGTCCACCACGACAGCGATATGGCCGCCTCATCTCCAAGACCGACCGTTGCAACCAAACGCAA